AATCATACTCCACCGCAGTGCTTAGGTGTTTTTGCCATTGGTCCCTACCGATTCATCTGTGGCTAGGAGACGTAATCGTGTAACTTCAGGCAGACGTTTAGGTCTGACCAAAGTGCTTGTAATTCATCGCTTATATATTCATCGATAGTATTCGTAAAGAATTGCACTTACGTAAAGTAACGAGTTCATATCCAAGGGAGTACCGGTCTAGCATGCCATACTCCCATTGCAAGCATATCGAACAGAACACAAGAATATTAGATGAAAAGTTTTATTTCATTGCAACGCAAATAAATTTAATTCCATATATCGGCTGAGCACAGTGCAGGACAAAGGTCTTCGTTCAAGAAGTATCCCCCACTCTTCGATGAAAACTATCCAGTATCTAAATTGCATCACGTTTAAATTCTTTCTCAATCCAGGTGAACAGAACTGTACTCCAACATCCAAAGTTATCCAGTATCACAAACTGGAACAAAGAATATCTGAACGGTTATTAGTGAATGAGTGGAATTGCCTTCTCTTGTTGTTGCATATAGAACCAATTCCTTTAACTGATTATGCGAATGCTCTCTGCACAGACTGCTTCACTCCACTGCTTCCATTAACACACTATTTATTTCTAGAAAGAATCAGTTATCAGCTTACTACAGTACCTAAAGAACGCTCACAACTTCCCTAATTATAAAATATTTGGCGCGCGATTCTGATCGGACGTCACAATCTCTCTCCATAACGTGGATATATTTTTACTGATTTCTGGAATATTGTAGTGGATATTATACCACTCATAAACTCTAACTTATATTGGCTGCTACCTTAGCTTCCAAATACGCAGTTATATCATCGCCAGTTATCAAGTTTGGATCCACTCTTTTGCAGTGCTCATCCTCCTTTTTATAATCTAAGAACAACGTCACACTAAAGAAAACTATAGAGAAGTTCATTATTTTTTGGTTTATAAATCAGGATCAATTTTTTAGGACAATTGGTTTCTATATAATCTGTATTTTACGGTTTAATACTTTTGTCGATTTATTGTTTATCTATAAGCAATAAGAACCATACCGTGCCTATAGTAGTTCTTAGTCTATATATCCACTCGATATATTATTTGTCCTTATACTTGTTTTCGATTTAGCTCAGCTTCTACTTCAAACCATACTGATCCGTGTTCAACAATGACTCAACGTAATAAACGAGTACTTTCTATACGTAAGAGTAGTTTAGGTCACTCAGCTAAGAAGATACGTACATCCCTACACGTTCCACCTAGCCTCAACAACGTCCCCAAAGTCATTGTGTCCGATTTGTTATCAGAGGTATACGCAACTGCTAAACAAAATAAGTTGGACCTTATTTCTCTAGGAAACTCTGTGAAGGAATTAAATGAGAATATAAACACCATTAAGCCGTTACTGCTTCTATGTAACCCAACTCATGATAGTAATCCAGAAAGTCTGCTGAAGGCTGAGCGTATGTTAGACTTTATAGCCAATGAAGTGACTAAACGAATCTTGTCTTCGTACAATGTTCTTGCTTACAATCTGCCTGATCGGACGCCTCTGGACAAAATTAAAGTGATATGTCTCCAAGCGTGCGGTATGCCATCAGCGGATTGCCACCTAATCAGACTCAGGAAAAAATCAGGAAAGTATACTTGTCCTGTGCTGTTTAAATTCAGTAGTCCTAATGATGCTAGGAAATTCCAGTCGTCTAACAAGCTAATTAGTTCATCTACACCTTTTGGCAACGTTAAACTTACTCATGACCTAACTCCATGTCAAAGACGTAGCCGCGCAAGTGTATCAAATGTCGCAAACACATACGTAACTGCAGAATGTCCTACAAAAGACTCTCTCGCCTTAGATTTAAGTATACCTAATGTTACAGACACGCGTGAAAAAGAAATACCCTTAAATAATAAAGCTTTACCTAGTAAACTCAACAGTGAAGCAAATATGGCCATAGACTTAGATGCATCTTTAGAGGTATGCTCGCTAGACACATCACCATCAGCTGCTAATACCACTACGCAAAAGGCTAAGCTTGAGAATGTAGCATTCAGTATAACCTCTCCGAGTAGTACTCACAGTAGTGTGCACACAAAACGGAGTAATATAACCCTGCCATCCAGAATACCTTCACTCAAACCCGTCACTGATAGGTTGCTCAGCAGCAAACCAAATAACACTAACTTAAGTGACTCCAATCCCACCATTAACCCAGGGAAGCTGAATAAGTCTTCATACCACCATAAATATAACGTCAATGAAAGGAGAGGTAACCCGCCAATTCATCCAACATCGAGCAAATCTTCATCCGTTAGACAAAACAGACGCTATATGTCTGGGCACCCTAAAAATAAGTTGAAACCCTACGGGCAGGCATGCACCTACCCCGACACAACTCTCCTATCTATAGCTAATGTAGACAAAAGTTTGATCCAGAGACCCCTACAACAAGGAACAAGTGGGTTAGGCTTCTTTCCTAAAAGCGGCCTTCTGACTCACCACATCCCTGACAACCACCGGACACAGTCCACCCAAGATAACCGATGGACTAATATTTACGAAAATAACTTGAACACACAAAATATTAATCATAACTGCGATGCGCGTAACTTTACTCCAGCATACTACCCACAAGAAATACCTACCTCCCCTTCATCCAATCTAAATTTTCTCAGCCAACACGAAATTTCAGCCTCAATATTGACGCAAATAGCACACATACTGTCAAGCCACTTATCACCGGAGGGGAGGGCGATGCATTTCAGTCACGGTATTATGAACACCTCTCACCCGCCGGGGTAACCAACGATAGCACATCTCTCTGTGCTGATACTGGTGTAGTGCACTTTTCTAGCACTGCCAGTACGTTGCCATCATCTGAGTTAGCACCCATCAAACAGTCTGCTCTAGATGCTACAAACCTTGAGGAAAACTTTTTTAAAGATATATGCGATTTCATCGTCACCCCTAACTCTCTCTCATTCTGTCTCATCAATGCTCGCTCCTTACTTAACAAAATGTTTGACTTCACGACATTATCCTTAATATGCAACCCGTCTCTTATAATGATTACTGAAACATGGTGCACTCCTCAGATATGCGATAAAGATATTTCTATTGATAACTATTACGTATTCAGAGGTGACAGAAACCATGGCAGAGGAGGAGGATGCGCTATGTATATCAGGTCTGATATTAAGGCCACACAGTGCTTCTACCCAGAGCTCATCACAGATAATGACTCAGTCTGGGCTACTCTAAGGCTGTCTCACTCCATTTCCTATCTTATAGGTTGCATCTATCATCCCCCATGTTCAGCTGTTGAAGGTGATATGAAACTTGCTAGCACTTTCGCTTACGCCACTTCACTACCTCACACGGCTAAAATTATATGTGGGGACTTTAATATGCCTGAAGTAGTCTGGCAACCACTTTCCTCACCGAAACGGTATCATGAATTTTTTAACATAATAGAAACAAAAGACTGGCAACAACACGTACAGCATCCTACCAGGCTATCTAAGATTTTAGATTTAGTTTTCACTAATGGTATCACCCCCACTACCCTTCGAGTAGGTAAAGAGTTTCCTGGTAGCGACCACAGAGTAGTGTTAGGTACATTCAATATTTGCACTAGCATGAGTGCGACAATAAGTGCCAACAAAGTATTACTCAGGGGTTACAGACACGCTCAGTGGGATGACCTGAAACCATACCTACGCACCCTAGACTGGGGACCATACTTTACATGCAGCTCGGCTATAGAGGCAAACAACTTACTCTACGAGAACCTAGGATTTGCACATGACTTCATCGCTCCAGCAAGACTTGTGAAAACGAGGCCTAAACAGCCTGACTTCATCCCCGTAAAGATTCGAAACCGACTGCGTAAGCATGCTAGGCAATTCTACAGATGTAATGACTTTTCATCACTCATTACACTCAAGCAAACTTATGATTCATACAAATCTAATCAGTTATCTGAGTCCATCAAACTAGAACGCATCCTCCTTTCACGGCCCGATAATACAGAGGCATTGGTAAAACTAATCAAGTCACGAATTAACAACAACAGAATAAGTATCCCTAACTTATTACTAGATGGAGAAAAACTATACGAAGACCCACAGGAGATATGCGAGTTATTCAGCTCCCACTTTTCTAGCTACTTTACTAACGAAGAAACAGTAGGTAGTCTTGATGTTCCGATAATACCATATCACTTTTTGGGTAATATAACATTTACCCAACAAAAGATTTCCTCCGCCATAGCATCCCTCCGGACATCATATAAAGCTGGACCTGATGGAATTCCATCTATCTTGTTGAAAAGAGGTGGTGAGGACATACCCATTATCCTCCTAAAGTTTTTCAATCTGTCCTTAAATAATGGCAGTTACCCAGAGTGCTGGAAGCTGTCGTTTATAACCCCTAGGCACAAACTAGGACCAACTTCTAATATCGAAAACTACCGACCGATCAATATCACGTCAGTAGTTTCTAGGGTTATGGAAAAAGTTATGGGGCAAGATATTGCTTCATACCTCCACCTTCACAAATTGTTTACTCCAGCACAACACGGCTTCTTGAAAAGTCGATCATGCTCCACCTGCCTACTTGACTACTTTGATGATGTTACCGCTAAGCGAGATCATGGTTTGCTTGTCACAACCCTCTTCTTTGACTTCAAAAAAGCCTTTGATAAAGTCCCACACAAGAGACTAATCCTTAAGCTAAAGTCGTACGGGTTCCAGGACCCCTTGTTATCCTGGCTCGTTTCTTTCTTGGAAGATCGTTCCCAAGTTGTGAAATTTGCAAATAATTACTCGTCACCCAGACCCATACGAAGTGGAGTAATTCAGGGTAGTGTACTAGGTCCATTGCTTTTCGTAATCTACATTAACGATATCTGCAGCGTAATCAAGCATGGTACCCCATACCTCTTTGCTGATGACTTAAAGATTGTATACAGCTTCCCCCATTCTACAATGAACGAGGGATTCACACATATTCAAGATGATCTGGATAGATTACATAACTGGAGCACTGATTGGCAACTGCCATTCAATTCTGATAAATGTGGTGCCTTATATTTCAATAACTCCCACCCGTATTTCAGGTTACACCTAGGTGACTCCTCTCTCCAAACCCTCAATTCCATAAAAGACCTGGGAGTTACCTACTCACAGAACTTAACATTTAGTCAGTATGCAAAAGCACTTGTTTCTAAATGCCGAAGACTCACAGGCTTGTTACATCGAAAAATGTACACAACTGAGGCTAAAGTCCTTTTATACAAAGTCATGGTTCGCCCAGTAATTGAATACTGCACAATTGTCTTCGGTTTCATGAATGGGTATGATAGGGTTCGTATTGAAAATATTCAGCGAAGTTTTACACGACGCCTATTACACAAACATGAAGGACTGACTTACGCGGATAGGTGCAAAATGTATAGACTTCAGCCACTTTGGTTAAGGCGCCTGAAACTCAACCTTACATTCCTTTTTCGCCTTTTACATGGCTACCTCAAAAGCAGTAATCCAATAGCTTTCAATAATTTAACCATATATACTCTTAGAAATCATGAAAATACTCTATCCATAAGCCGGTACCGGACAAAACTGCGATCACGTTTCTTCAAAATACAGTACAGTGCATTATGGAACGAACTTCCACTTAATGTACGTAGTTGCCGATCTCCTACTGAATTCCAGCGTCTCCTTAACGAGTTCTTGTCAACAAAAGAGCTTCGGTCTACTTATCCATACTTTACCCATATGGGCTGTTCATCTAACTTTGGTACTACAGACCCCAGTGCAATACCCCCAATTTGAGGAAACTCATTTGCCCCAGCAACAGTACCGCACCTAAAACGTGATAAAACCAACCCAATTTCTCCCACATGCCTTGATCTGAGGTTTGGTTATTCAGCTTATTGGAGATCTTATCAATATTTCATCAATCGGGCTTATAAACTCATAAGACTATCTATAATTATCCTGGACGTATAATCCCAAATTAGTTGTGATAGTTCTTCCATAATATAAGCAAACTGTTACTTTGTAATGTCTAAAGCACGCCATATGAAAAGTGGCCAGGAAAACTTAGCAATAACAAACTCAGCCAACCAACCATTTTCCCCAAGCTCATTCAACCTAACCTTATCTTTAATCGTACCACTATCCACTACACTCTAATCCGTAGATTATGTCTTAATTTGACCCAGTACTGAAAACTCTTCTACCTTTTACTTTTAAAGATGTTCTAACTACTAACTGCGCAGTAACCGTTTAACTAACTCACTGACTTTCTCTTCACTGTAATCTTCAATAAGTTCGTCAGTGTAATTATTTCCATAAACAATTACATTAGCAACCATATCTTTTAATATTTTACATATATGCTTATATTATTAGCACTATTTTTGAGTTGAAATGACTATCTTCAGTCAACACCTACCCATATTCATATAATTTTCTAAAAAATTCATAATGTTGAAATTATGTAGTATTTCTCCATTATGTAATTGATGAGTCACTTTGCAATGTGTAACGCACACCATATAAAATCGGTCGTGAAAATTTAGCATAACAATTTCTGCTAACCAGTTGCCTTACTCAGGACCACTTTACATAACTTTATCACTAATTGTTCCACTACTCATATCACTCTGATAAATAGAATATAACTTAGTTGTTCTAATATTAGCTATTTTTATACTTCATAACTCTTAAGGGAAACCTAATTTCTTAGTCTTTTGTAGTAACCCACTTGTTCACTAGTATGATGATAATATTGCTAACGATGTCCTCTGGTATTATTGTGCCATGTGACCTAATGGGAAGCACTTGTCATGAAAGCTGTTAATGTGCAGCATACTGTATGATTGGGACGGAGTCAAAGCAATCCAATATTACAACTGCAGTCATTGTGAAAGGTCTCAGAGCTTAATGTCAAAAAAGGAGGGAGGGTGGAGCATGCTGATCAGCAGATTTGGTAGTGGTCACAAATGTGAATCGCTCCGATCTGTAGGACAGCAACATGCATTATTTTGGCAGCTCGAGAACTAAACATGAGTTTAGATACTAAATGTATAAAAAAATAGACTTTAAAAAAAATTAATTGAAAAAATAAAACAATAATGACTGTACAGTTTTAGCTTGTAAAAAAATAACAATGCTTTCGCTCCTAACATCTACAAGCCTGCTCAGTTTCTTGTCAAGATGCTATCCCATGGGCCATACACAAGTTCGCCAAACATCCAACAGGTTTTAGTCCTTCTAGCCACTTCTCTCTGAAATGTTACTTATATACTTCACAATAATCCTTCTACCTAATTACTATAATACTCTATTTTACCTCAACTTCCTAGCACTTTAATGAAGCTGAAATTTTTTCCCTCTTCTCATTTACACCCTTTTCTCGCGTAAAGTTCGGTTGCTCTGATGATAAAAACAACAACACTCATGTTTGAGAATAAATATATTTTCATAGCGTCATAGTTTTCCATGGTAAGACCAATATGGTTAGCATCATACATTGCAAATGTGTATTATCATTTCAAGTACTACATAGCTTCTTGTATTTATCTTGTAAATATACTTTTAATAATGTATTATTCATAATTGCATTCTATACCATTTTGCAGCTGCGCCAGATTTTCTTCAATTCCTAAAATAGCGTCCAAGCATTTGAAGGCATAGCACTCACACAAATATATGTTGTTTATCGACTGGTCATAACTATCATCGGGAAATGGAACGAATTTCGGGTTGTCGCTCAAATTCGATGGTGACCTTCGTGAAATATTTACAAATTAACATTTATAAGAATCTGTTCTGATTGCTTGTACTATAACTCAACAATATGAACTTTTTGAAAAAGTGACAATGTATGCTAATTAACAATTGTTATTCGTAACATAATTGATCGTGCCTGTAAAAATGGCATGCATTTCATGTAAACTTACCCGTTTATACGAAATATATATTATTATTACCTTGTAAACTTGTGGAGTGAGAACTGGACACTGAAGCTGTAACCCTCTTCTTATGCACGAACTGCGGTGTCGTCTGAGACACTCTTTTCAACAATGGATTACCAGTTACGACTACAGGCTTCTTCACTGCACCATTATCGATACACGATTCGGAGTCAGAACACGATGACGCTGACTTCACATTTAGCTTACCACTAAACTTGCTCATTGCTTCACAGTTCGCCTTTGTATGCACTTCTTGCAAACGGACGAAGCACAACCGTGTTTGTCTTGCAGCTTGTAACTTATCCGTTGGGGACGTCCCACTAAAGCTGTCTCAATCATTAGGTTTACTAGACACCGTACAGCTTCCTTGATATCCACTACGCTGAGACCCCTTCGTCATAAATGATTGCATTTTACTCTCTGATTTCTCTATTTCAGGGGAGGGATGCAGTATACTAGCAAACTTGCTCAAAGCTTGGTTGACACTGTCTTTCACCAGGCTCACAATGTCATCCAACCCGGGCTCTAAACTTTCCTCCTCTAGACGTGAACAAACCTTTACAAACTTCCTTTGTAGACGAACAGGTAATCTCTTGGCAGCAGTCTCAAGCACGGAACTTGAGTTCAATTCATCTACGCAGTTAAGGGACATGAGTGTATTTCTATGTACCATCAAATTATCCAAGAACTCTGCAAGTTCCTCTGGATTATCATTCAACTGTGATCCGTTACCTTTCACTGTCTCGAAAATACTCCGGGATATCATATATGGTTTTCCAAACCCTTGACGCAGTATGTTCATTGCCTCAGTATATCCCTCGTTCGGGGGCATAAACTTGCAGCACTGTATGGCTCTTGCAGCCACACCAGTGCAATATCTCAATAAATACATTAACTTCATTTCATCATTTAATACAAAACCACTCTTTGATGAACTGTGGGTGGTCGGCTGGGTTTCCATCGAAGTATCGCGGTTCAAACTTAGGCAATCTTAAACCCTTACTATCACTTAAGTGTGAAGCGTGAACATCAAACTCAACATGCTGAGCATCATACATATCATTACAATTAACAGGCAACTCATTGTTACTTACTTTTTTGTCTGCTTCCATGGTGCCATATCCCTTTCTTGACCCAGGCATTATCCAACGTCACCAAAGAATCCAAATTGCGTTGATAATCCTTGTCCAAAGAGAAGCTGGCTGCCGATCTAGTAAGTACACCCGGAAGAGTTCCAGAAGACGAAGAGAAGAATAAAAACTGCCCCAGAAGACGAACAAACGAATAAAAACTGTCAAGGAACTTAGCCCTAAGTTCCTATTGTAACGAAGACGTTTTCGTTTTGAACCGATAAATACTATGTATGTGTCACAACTTTCAACCCAAAACACCAGTATTCCTTGAACGAAATTATATTGTTTGGCAATTAAAGCGAGACAAAATACAAAGTCTACAAACAAATGTTGAATACAAATGAAGTTATAAAGTACTTTTATTCGTTTTTGTTCCCGTCTTCATTCAACTTGCAAGTGATCGAACCATTCGCGCCTTCGAATTGCCCACCAATGGTTGCCAGTTCCAATAAACAAACGTTCAATGTTCACGTCCATTGACATCGTGCCTGTAAAAATGGCATGCATCTTCATGTAAATTTATGTTTATACGGAAATATAAATTATTTTTATAAGTGGGTTTTTACAAGAAATGCTGGCGCAATAGGTTATGTCATAAATTGCAATCGTGAAGTATCATAAATTAATACTTTTCCAAAAGTTTAGATTGTTCAATTATTGTACAAGCAATTAGAACAGGTTATCATAAATGTTAAAGCGTAAACCCTTTACAATGAACACTATATTTGTGTAAGTGGTATGCCCTCACGTAATTAAAAGCTATTCCAGGAGGAGAACAACGTCCTGAGAAACTACGAATTGGCATAAAATACAATTATCAATGATACTTCATTTAAAGTCCGCCTACAAGATATATACGGCAAGTGGCTATAAAGACCTTGGAATAGTAGTGTAGCGGTAAATAATTCTCCGAAATTATTGACCACGGCAATCATCACTCAACATTGAATGCTGACCCTCACTGTTTAAGTCGACTTGTTTAGCTGAAGGCTTCCGGTCAAGCATCCACCCCATTTGGCACCCCGTCGTGTCACGTGCGTGCACGATCACTAGCCAGCTAAACATTCACTTCAACCCGCGATTTGGTCCCGAAATATATATCGTACTTTGGACGACTAAATCTGGTCTTTTGCTTTGTCTTTGGTACTCGAAGAGCGAACACTACAGAAGTTGTTGGTATAAGATCTTGCGTTAGTATACTCCGTACAATTCGTGAACGTCGATACCTTCAACCTCCAAAGTAGTATAGCTTTGCAATGTTTAAGGCTAATCATATCGGTGTAAGCATAGAAACTACGACGTTTTCGATGAAAACAGCTTTGTTTAAACACTGGTGTTGTGTTTCTAATCAAAGCAACCATACTTTAGGCAGGCGACCAGTAGGCACAAAGAGTAAGTCTCAGCTTTAATAAAGGCTCATCCAGTTAAGATAAAATGGAGTGTTATAGTGCGTAAATAAAAAGAGTATCGTGAAGTAGATAAGTGATATTTCAATGACAAATAAAGTGAAAGGTCTGCAAGCTTAGAATTCGTAAGACAACCTGACATGTAAGATCTCTAACGAATTTCTGTAGGGCCTATGGGATAGCCTTGATGTTTTCCCGTCATTCTGAACTTTGGAAAGTTGATTTATAAACGTAAAAGGTGATAGTCATCGAAAATGCTGCAATATTTTCTAGCTGTTCGGAATTTTTTCCTTTGATGCTGTTTCTTATCAACAGTTCGCAGTATTCATAGTGAGTGTATAGGAAACTTTATTCTATCTTCATTTTCACCAACCTTCCCTTCACGCATGATAGCATGTAGTAACTACATACAGTCAATCACTGTAACCTGAACATCACAAAATCCCTACAGATAACTTGTTTAATAATAAATGCTTTAAAGATTTGAGCCATGGGTGCACCCTCCATATCCTTCATAGCCACAAGTAATTCATTAAGGATCTCAGAATATCTCAGTGATCTGAAAACGAGTAATTACTAAGACTGATATAACTTAAGCAACAGGTGTAATAGTTGTAGGACACAGGTGCTAGGTACTATTCGACAAAAAGCTGACAATATTTTAGACAATTTGACATTTTAGAAGGACCATCTATACTATTCTTCTTGCCCCAATGCGCACTGATATCAACATAATCTGATGCCATGTTATGCACTGAGCAATTACGGTCTTCCAAAAGTCCATGTGACAATGTAAATTAAACTAGTATCACATCTTCGCCTGAGTAATTTTAACTAGGAACTTCATCGAAATGGATATAACCACCAGGAAATCCAGCAGCTTGTCTCATTCATCGCATGATCTCCTCTATGTGTTATGGAATATTTCAATCATGACGGATGATAACAAAAGTGTTTAACATCCTCAAAATGTACATCTAACTCATGTCTGCGGACTATTTCTCTTTAAAATGCCCGATTCTCAGTGAATAACTGCTATGACAACAACCATTATCTGTAGTCAATTTACAACCTTGAGATCTATAACAACTCGCAAATAACAAAGCTTTAAGACTCTAAAACGCAAATAATAGTCTTTCCATGCGAAATTTCTTATAAGGGATGACCACTTTTAGTGATAAACCGTCTGGGATATCAGGACAACTTTACCCGTTAATACGAACACAATGCAGAAAATATTGCTTTTTTCGGCTACTGAAGCCTAAAACGAGTCAAGTATAATCTATTTTCGAAAAAACTGTACGATTATAACGCCTCTATAGGCGTGAACGCGATAACCCATACAGTGCGCGATAATATATCACGATAACGTTTATCCTCACCCGCTTGACCTGTTCTTCTTGCGTAAATCACGATATGAGCGTGCTTTACA